CCGTGTATCGGTAGCCTCAGCAGAGCCCCAGGCAGACTGAATTCCATCTCCCCTGGAGTAGGAGTGAGGAATACAGGCTGAGGAAAGCCTGTGGCAAATGTCCTGGGGGAATAAATTCAGGGCTTCAGACTCCAGGACTGGCAATCGAAAACTAAAATGTAAACGTAAAGCAGATTCCTATATTACACACCAGTCCCAATCCAACACCCTGGCCCATCACATGGTTCTTTTCTACTGAGAAGGGACCGCCGGTTAGCCTGGAAAGCAGCGACTCTGATAAGGACTTGGGGCATAGTGGGTAATGAACGGAACATGAGCCCCCATTGCAATGAGAGCTACTGTGAGCCTCAGATGTAGAAGAAGCAAATACTGCGTACCAGCGGGGAGGTGGTATTACCACTGCAGATGGCATTAGTGAGGCCATTAGTGCATACTGTGCCCAGCTCTGGTGTCTACACGTCAAAATGATGTTGAAAAACTGGAAAGGTCAGAAAAAAACGACAAGAAAGAGATCAGGGCTGGAAAACCTGCCTTGGAGTGAGAGACTAAAGAAGCACAGTCCATTTCGTTTAACAGAGAAAGAGCTAAGAAAGGGCTTGGTCAGTCTATAAGTATCGACATGGGGAGAAGATTTCTGAGGGCTCTTTAATCGCACCAACAAAGGCAGAACAAGATCCAATGGCTGGAGCACGTTTTTAAACAGTGAGGTAATTAACTCTTGGAACAACTTCCCGAGGGAGGGGTGGATTGAAGTATTTAAATTAGGATCACTGTCTCGTTTGAAAGATCCGCTCTAGCTCAGCCAGAAGTTATGAGCTTGATGCAGGAATCACTTGGTGAAATTCTCCAGCTTGTGCAATGCAGGAGATCAGACTCCTGGTCCCTCCTGACCTTGTGTACTATGAATCTCTAACGGATTCCTCGTCAGTCAGCAGCTGGCAGGACTTTGCCCCCCCAAAGATTTCTTTGTCTAATTGATATTTTAAACTGATGGAAAACAAGAGTGAATCAGTCAATTGCCAGGAGAAGATCCAGGGAGAGCTACTGCTCTCCTCTGTGCAGGCTCCTTCGCCAGCATCCTCATCCGCTGCCTGAGGTGTGCTATTAATGAGCCATCTGCAGGGATTACACTGGATCATTCATAGCAGACAGGCTCAGAAGGGGAAGTGACACAGAACTGTTGGGAAGGGGACCAGAGGAACCAGAATAGAACAGTGGCTGACAGGATGTAAAATGGGGGATTCAAAAAGAGGGGATCAGAAAATCCAGGCTGCAAGGGGAGTGGAAAACAACTCTACAGCACTGCCAGGACCTCCTCCGCTCCTCACGCTGCAACTTCAGCCACAAACACTGACTGAGCCAGAACAGAGACTCTCCGACGTTTCCAGCAGGAGAAATTCTGTTATTGCTCAGGCTCGAGAGGGACTTGTGGTACTTTACAAATAGAAAGGCCATATTCCTGTGCTGCAAGACTTCCAGCCTAGCACCAGTTCCCTTCCTCCTCCCCCCATCCCGGTGCCCCCGGCCAGCATTCTGCTCCAGTGCTAACCCCATGCCTCCATCGCCCAAGGGCATGGACATTACCTCTCCCGCTGAAGTACCCATGAAAGGCCTGGTTTGGGCTCCCCCACAATAAAGTATAAACCAGACTGACACTTGCAAGCACAGTCCATGTGAGAATCCCAGACAGCATGGTTTGCTGACAGATTGTACACTAGTCATACACAGAAGACTCCTAGGACACACCAGCTGTTGACAAGAAATGACAGATATAGTTCCCCTTATTCCCTCTCACTCCCCAGGGGTCTAGCTACTGTTTTGTAATAGATATTGGAGACAGTTTGGTGCTGCCTATGCTGGCACCCAAACAATTTTCAATCCCAGTGGAGAGAACATAATAATAGCCATTTTGGGTCTCACCCAGGATCCATCTAGTCCAGTATCTTGTCTGACAGTGACCAGCACCAGATGCTTCAGACACAGATGCAAGAAACCCACAATAACAGATACAAGATGATCTGACTCCCACATTACATCTCCTAATCCCTTACAATTAGAGACTGGTTTATACCCGGAACCATGAGGTTGAACAGCTCTTCCAAAATGTGTTAGTATTAACAACAACAATTCTGGCTATTCTGGAGATCCATATTAATGTCCAATCCCCTCTGAATCTTGTTAAATTCTTGGCCTCAATGACATCCTGTGACAATGAGTTCCACAGTTTAATTACATGTTGTGTGGAAAAGTATTCCCTTTGATTTGTTTTGAATTTGCCACCTTAAAATTTCACTGAATGTTCCCTTGTTCTTTTCTTATAAGACAGGGAGATCAGAAGCTCCCAGTCTATCTTCTCCGGACCAGTCATTTCAGATACGTTTATCATGTCCCCTCTTATCTGTCTCCCTTCTAAGTAAACAATCCCAGTCTTTTCAATCTCTCCTCACACAAGAGCTTTACTAGGCTCCTCGTCATTCTTGTCTTCCTGCTCTGAATTCTCCTCTAATTTGGCAAAATCCTTTTGAGAGGGGGTGACCAGTACTGCCCACTGTGTTCTAGGTGAGGCCGTACTATTGATGGATATAAAGGCATTATAATATTTTCCATATTATTCCCTAGGCATCTTGACGTCTTGTTTGCTTTCTTTGACCACCGCTCCACACTGAGCAGAGATCTTCACTGAGCTGTCTACAGTGATGCCGAGGTCCCTTTCCTTAGTGGATACAGTTAACTTAGCTGCCTGTAAGGTGTAAGAATAGTTTTAAAATTTCCCTCCAATGTGCATTACTTTGTATTTATCGACAACGAACTCCATCTGCCATAGGGTTACCCATTCACCTAGCCTGGATGGGTCCCTCTGAAGATCTCTACCATCCTCTTTGGACTTGACTAACCTAAATTAGAGAGGCCAGGAGATTCATGGTTCAGTGGATAATTTTCCTAGTGACGACTGCATGTTTTCCTTTGCTTTGATTGGCTCTGCCTATAGTGAAGACTATAAGAAGAGAAAACTGATGCAGATTCTGTGTCCATATAGAGTGAACTGAGAGTAAAATCTCTGGAAGGAGCAGAACCTGAACTGGATTTCTGTTCCCATCTGTAATGGACTCATTACCCTCTGTTCCTTCCTCGGATCTACATATTGACTCTCTCAGTCTTCTCGGGGACACAACTGCGCACGTAGAGACGGGTGATCTACCTACATGCCTAGATGTTTATAAAGCAACCACTCAGGAGGTAACCAGATGCCAGGAGATCACACTGTAGATTATGAGGTAACAAGCTGCCCGCAGAAATGGACTTGGAAAGACACATCCTCAGTTTACCGGCTGTGAACTTTTGAAGAGAGACAAGGTGGGTGAGGTAATATCTTTCATTGGACCAACTTGTTTTGGTGAAAGAGACAAGCTTTTGAGCTTCCATAGAGTTCTTCTTCAGATCTCAAAAATGTGCCTCACTCACCAACAGAAGTTGGTCCAGTAAAAGATATTACCTCATCCACCTTGTCTCTCTAATGTCCTGCGACCAACATGACTACAATACTACAATAAACTTGTGAAGGCAGATACATGAATCTAGAGACTTGTCTACACACAGGTTTAACTATAATACTGGTTTGAAACCAGTACAGTTACAGCAGTGCAACATGAGGTGAAACAGCAGCCAATAGCTAATGCACATGTGCAGACTGGCTGCGTTTTGTTTCTCCATGTTTTTGACCGGCTCTACTCACCTCACTCACTCTAACCCATGGAAAAAGGCATCACATGTTTTCTCTTAGTAATGCCTAAAACTAGGTTACATTCTCAGCCATCATGTTATATTAGAGTAGCGACTGAGGAAACCAAACCAAACCATTTACTCAGTGTGCAATGTGAAACCTAGGAGTGTGCACAGCTATGAAAGATGCAAGAGTCAAACATCTGGTGACCCAAACTCTGGACTTCACTGTTTTTAAAGTTCAGTGGAAAACGGGAATACTGCATATGTGTGGGGAAGGATTTTCAGCTTCTTTATTTCTACTTCATATTTCTCTATGTCCCAGAGGATGGACACCACGATAAGGCTGGAGTTTTTAAAACAACCTGGGTTTTGGTGTTACCCAGGCACAAGAAAAGCATCTGCTACATTTCTTATACCTACTCCTCCCCATTCCCAGATGCCTCCAAAACACCCATATGGAAACGTACCGAACTTTGCCAAAGAATCGCTCTCAGCCCAGAGGCTAATTCGTTTGAAAAGAGATCAAGAATGGAAGTGCCTTCCCAGCCCTTACACACAATTTGCTATGGAGACACTAAAGCAGCACTGAACTCACACTCTCAGCTCTTGGGCAGACTCCCAGGAAGTTGCCTTCGAGAGCTGGAGTCTGTAGGGACCCTGGGATGGACTCAGGCTCGGCTGAATCGCACGAGAGAAACAGCAGTCTTAGTTTTCCCAGTAAAATTCTGGAGTCAGCATCGTTTCGTGGTGAGAGTCTGTAAACATCAATTCAACAGGAAAAGAAGACGTAGGGAGCCAGCACCCTCTCATGCCCCCCACCATTATGTCATTCTACCCCTTGTGCCCACAAGACTGCATACGAGAACCAGATGTGCTGGTCCAGTGACAAGCATCGCAGCCAGGAGGGGAAGGCAAGCAGCACATAAGACCAGACAAACTATCCAGCACCGGAGACCAGGAAGAGAAGAACCAGAACTGGGTTTTTATGTCTGTTTGGAATGGGATCTGGCTGCAGCCCTGGGAAGCAGAGAATTGGAACAGGATTTCTACACACTCCTGCATTGTGGCTCTGCTGTGTCTGGTGCAGTCCTAAACCAGCTGAAAGGGGCTTTACGCTGCAGTCCAGGCTCCCCCTTTTCTTAGAGCGTGTCTACACTTTTTGTTTTGCTGCTTTAACTCTACCTGGTTAAAGGCCTCGCGCCCACACCCAGTTACACCAATGAAAAGTCCCTGTGAAGCCCTGAGCATCAAAGGCCAGATCCAGCCTGGAGACTCACCTTGGGTAGGGTGCTGTGGGCACGAACCACCAGGCTGCAAACACTGGCTGGCGACTCCAGGCTGCTCACAGTCACTCTCACCAGCTGTGGCTGCTGCCCCAGCACGCTGCTTCCCTGGGCCCCTTGAGCCGGTCTCTGCTCAGTATCCAGAGGAACGTCCTGCAATTGAACACCGAGGTGGGTGGGACAGAGCCAATGGAAGCGAAGGAAAACACAGGAGAGACCGAGAGGTGGCTGTGGAGGAGCCTGGATCCCCCAGCGGGGGGACATCAGACAAGCCGGCTGAGGGAGCCTTGCCGATGGAAGTGAGCCGAGAGAGGAACCAGGGTGGGGTGCATTGATCCCACAGCCACACTGAGGGTGAGGTTCCTAGAAGGGGACACGCCCCTGTCCCCCACCCCCCCCCGTGGTTGTGCCCATGCTGCTGGTGAGAATATCACGGGTCCCGTGCAGGCATGTAAGAGAATCCTTCCTAGGCTCCCTTCTGTTCCCAGTGCCGGGGCTGGCTGGATCACGTCTGTGCACTATTGCCCCCTGCTGGATGGTTGAGTAGTGCACCACAAACCAGTGTACCCCTCTGGCTGAGAGAATGCAATTCTATGCCGCTCACCAGAGTAGAAGCTTGTGGCTTTGGCACTGTTCAGTTTCAGACACTTCCTTCTGATGCCACTGCATTCCTAAAGACCCGTCCCCCCGACACTGACAGTCCAGTGCCAGCAGCCCGGGACTAAGAGTTCTCAGTGAGAGACGCTGCACAGGGATCCCTGGGGTTCTGCCCGCTGCCAATACACAAATACCCAGGTTACTGCTATCCTGAACTTCGGGAACTGGTGTTAGGCAGAGTCTCATCGGCACGGAAAGGGAGAAATTGCCCATCCAAGCAAGTGCCAGAGATTGTGCCATAGGCCCCTGAAACCCAGACTATTCTCCACTGAGTTCAGTGACACACTCAGATTGCTAAAGACTCACTCAGTATCTCTTCCACACACCTCACCACTGAGCCAAAACCCCAGGACTCCCTCGATAAGCTCAGGTGGCTACGGCCACTCCTGTGTTTGCTGTGCAGGCCATGTGCTCAGCATAGCTGCCTCTGCAAGCCAGAGAGATGGGGAACAGGAAGGCATGGAGGGGGGCCAGGAAGCACAGCTCACACGAGAACAGGCGGTTTCACTTGGGAAAAGGACGACTGGAAACTCAGCCTGTCTCCACCAGCATGAGAGACCCATGCTCCCTGAGTGGAGGAAAGAGTGACGCAGGAGCCTGCAGGCAGGAGTGAAGCTAATGTACCTACTATCAAGTGAGGAAAAGCAGCTCTGACTGGCTGCGCCACCCTCCCACAAACAAACCTAGCCAGTCTGGGGGGACACCTGGGGCTCCTGACTGGCAGAGCAGAGCACAGCTCTTGGGGGAGGGATTACTGCTCTCTGTGACTTGGATTCTACGGCCCCGCTGTGACAGGTGCTGTACGCACACGCAGTAACTGTAGCCAAAAGGCCAGCCTTCCTCCTTCCCAAAGAGAATGACACGGGGAACCGGCTTCCGACACCTTGTCCCAGCTCGGGGCCATATAACAGGGCAGGCGGACCAGCCTGGCACAGCCTGCTGGCACCACAGCTTCTCGCTCCCCGGAAAACACACGGTCTGGCCTCCAAGCTCTGCTGAAGAGGAAGGCGCCTTTTCTGCCCCCTGGTGGCCACGTTTTGAACAGGTTAAAAATTAACTTTCCTCAAGGACAGATGAACGATCTCGTGCATTTATAGACTCGGAAATGCAGGGCGGGAAGGTCCCTTGGGAGGTCATAATCCACCCTGGTGAGATTCAGACCGTAGCAAGGATTAACTCTTTACTCTCTACCAGAGTCTTCAGTGCAGAACAGTGGTCACAGGCTCCATGGGAAGGGGGCGCTCCTCAGGGGGAAGAGGGAGGGGCTACAGGATATCCCCCTACTCTCTGCTAGGCTGGGCAGGAGCCCTGGTTTGGGTCTGTTTGCCAGCACGTAACTCTTCAATACTAGGAATACTTCAAATGTAAACAGGGCCGGCCCCAAGCAGTGAAGAGGAAAAAAGAAAAAAAGCAGCGATCGGCGGCACTTCGGCGGCCGCTCTACCGCGCCGCTTAGTTCTTCGGCGGCAATTCGGCGGCCGGTCCTTCCCTCCGAGAGGGACTGAGGGACCCGCCGCCGAAGACCCGGACGTGCCGCCCCCTTCCATCGGCCGCCCCAAGCACCAGCATGCTGCGCTGGTGCCTGGAGCTGGCCTTGAATGTAAAGCAAACGTATGTTTGAGGACACAAAGCATGAATTGCAGGAGAGATCTTAAGCTTTTGGACAATGGGAAGCAGAGCAGGATGGGAGAGAATTCAGGGCTGGGGAGGCCCAGAGATCTCTGCTATCCCGTTCCCCAGCCCTGCTACTCGTACAACAACTAATTAAAGAAAGTACATGCAGCCGTCCCTTCCCTTTGAACACTCAACCGAGAATGTTTAAAATCCTGCCTATCTGAGGAAGGCCAACTCAGTGGGGCCCAGGGGTGTAACAGGGCTTGTGGTCTTATCACTGGAGCAAGCGCTCGCTGCCAGCTAAGATGCTATTGTAAACATTCCTCCCACTCTACTGTTCCGGGCCTGGTTTGGGTTTCCCATTTGTTTCCACATGCCTTTACTGATGATCAGAGCTCCTCCTCAGAGCTAGGTGCATTGGCGCATTCCCAGCTGCCGTACCCCACACAGTCCAGCTGCTGACCAAGTGAAGGCTACTAAGGTCTAAAGGTTCTCTGGAGCAGCGTTTCTCAATCACAGGGTCACAACTAGACCTGGGCAAAAAAGTGTCAGCGAATGGCACCAAAATTATTCATAACTTCAGGTAGAATTCAGCAAATAGTTTCAGATTAAAAAAACCTGAAAATCATTTCATGATTTCAGAATGAAATTTGTCAACTTTGTGTTTCAAAACAGTGTTTCATTTTAAAATTTAGTTAATTTAAAAAAACAGGTGAAACACACCTGAAAATTTTTTACCCAAAATATTTTTGTGGCAGAGGGAGAGGTTTGTTTTGGTGAAAAAAAGCCCAACAAACTTCAGTTTTGGTTTGAACCGAACCACATTTTTTTTTTTCCACATTTTTCAGTTCAGCTCTCAAACCAAAAAATCCATGCTTCGCTGTTTTAGTCCCAACCCTAACAGATGTCACTAAAGGCAGGTGGGAAGGGTGAGCGTGTGAGCAGGGGCGGCTCCAGGCACGAGCGCAGCAAGCGCATGCCTGGGGTGGCAAGCCGCGGGGGGCGGCCTGCCAGTTGCTGTGAGGGCGGCAGGCAGGTGGCTTTCGGCGGTATGCCTGCGGGAGGTCCACCGGTCCCACGGCTTCGGCAGCAATTCGGCGGCGGGGATGCCGATAGCACAGCACCGGCGGACCTCCCACAGGCATGCTGCCGAATCCGCGTGACCAGTGGACCGCCCGCAGGCGCGCCGCCGAAAGCCGCCTGCCTGCCGTGCTTGGGGCGGCAAAAAACATAGAGCCGCTCCTGTGTGTGAGGCATTGACTTTTTTACAAACCAAAGCAGGGGAAATTTTGCACACCCTTATGTTTCAAGATTATATATTCTCTGTCAGTCTCTTGAAACACATACACAAATCAATGATTTAGGCTTAGCATTGATACATGTTCTACCCTTACTTACAGAGAAAATAGAGGGGCTACAGAAATTTTTGATTTAAAATAAGGGGTTGCCAACCTGAAAAGAGAAACGCTCTCTAGAAAATACCCCTCAGAGAGTCAAAGCATTCCTGTGTCCACTACAGGTTTCTTTGCATTGCTATCTATCCTTTTCTACCTCTCAAGTGAATTTCATTTAAAGGGACATCACTTCTTTCAGCTCCAAAGTTCTCTATACTCCATACTGATCTGGAGTTCCCGCACTGGCATAATTGAAAATTATGTAAATCTGAAATGCAGAATCATTAAACTAAAAGATTTTAATCCTTAAATTATTAAAGTCATCGAAAGAGTTATTTAATTAAAGGGAGGATTCCTGCAGCATTTTATGTTTCCAGTATGATTAAATTTTTTGTGTCCCTAATTTTGTGTCTGTCACACATTGTGTCCCATATTTAGGCCATGGCAGGTTGAGAAGCATAATCCACAGTGCTGAACTCTTGGGAATGCATGGATGGGTGGCCGGGTTCTCTTGCTCAGAGTCCTGGGCTCCCGAGTTTGAATCTGGAAAAGGGGGAGGAGATTTTACCTCTGTACATGGTACTGGTGAGACCACTACTAGAATACTGTGTACATTTCTGCTGTCCACACTTCCTAGAGAGGGTGCAGAAAAGATCCACAAAAATGATTCAAGGGCTGGAGAAAATGCCCGACAATGAGATTTAACAAGCCCATCGAAAAGAAAACAGAGAGATGACTTGCTTACAGTGGGGAGTGTGACTGGGTGTTCCAGGCATTTTTCCCACATTGGAGGCCCCAGGCTTGGCACACCCCAGCCTAAGAAGGTGTCCCTTTTGGAGAACAAGAGCAGCAAGTTTAGACTTCAAAGAACTGCCTGGAGAGGCCACCCAGCTGCTGGAGCTGGCAGAAGCCAATCAGGGCCCAGCAGACAAAATCAAAAGGCCTGGCTGCAGCTGGGAAGGACAGCAATGGTTTCCTGAGTCTTAACCCAAGCAACCCTAGGGAGGTTGTGGAATCTCCATCTCTGGAGATATTTAAGAGTAGGTTAGATAAATGTCTATCAGGGATGGTCTAGACAGTATTTGGTCCTGCCATGCGGGCAGGGGACTGGACTCGATGACCTCTCGAGGTCCCTTCCAGTCCTAGAATCTATGAATCTATGAACCCAAATTGATCAAGGGCCTAACTCTGGCTGCACCTTGTTCACTGAACCTGTTTTATATTATGCAATGTGAAGCCCAGGTGGCCATCTTGAGTTAAGTATGAATTTATTGTTATAAAGTTAAGGTGAGCTCTCTTTGCAAGATGCCCTGCTGGCTCAGGCAAGCTGTGATCGGGAGCAAATAGGGGGTGCTAAGGGGCTCTCTAATCTAGCGGAGAAAGAGAGAAGAACCAAAGTTGGGAAGCTGAAGCCAGACAAGTTCAAATTAGAAATACAGGACAAATTTTTAACCGTGATGGTGATTAACCATTTGAACAAACTGTTAAGGGAAGTGATGCCTCAGACGTCTTCAGATAAATACTGGATACCTTTTGGGATGTTATGCTTTAGCCAGCAAGTTACTGGGCTCATCACAGGGGTTACTGGGTGAAATTTAACAGCCTGTGATATACAGGAGGTCAGACTAGCAGGTTTAATGATCCCATCTAGGCTTAAAAACTCTATGAATCTAGGTATTTATTTCCCACTTGCAGCCTTCTGAATCTAAAGTTAGGCAGCTTTTTAGGACATCTGTTCTGTCCACCTTTTTAGCCAACAGTGGGGTAAATACCCGTGGGTGGTGAGTGCAAGGGCTGGGTTTGTGGCCAATGATTTTCATTTTTGTACTTGTATTTAGATATTGCCTGCGAGGCAAGACGAACTGACAGACAAGAGGCTAGCTTGGGAACTCGTTATATTGGCACTTGATGTTGAACCTATCGGTTCAGTATCCCTGCATGTGACCAGATTGCTGAGGGGGTGAGGAAATCAAGCACTCATAACCCAGGGACCAGAAAAGCCTCCCATCTTCGCTCTTTCTGCCCTGAGCACTTGTTCTTGCCAAGACAGTAGCGGGAATTACCATCCAGTAATTTTAGGCTTTAGGGGATGTATTGAAGGGAAAGGCCCTTGAAACTATCCTTCCATCTATGCTAGGAAAGAGGTCCACTGCTAACAGTTAGACCCTGGAGTCCCAACAGGGTAAGTTCTCTCTGATCCTAGTCAACACCTACATGGAGATGGCAGGTGAACTGGACTCAGCTGCCAGCATATAAAGGTGAGACACAGCTTTATCTGTCGTTCACCCATCTGACCACACCACTACCCCCATTGGCTCGCATAGCAGCATCTGCAAGTAATGCTTTCTGCCATCTCCAGCTGGCTAGGAGGTTCCATTCCATCCTGGTGAACAACCACCTGGCCTCTGTTAGAGGCATCTTAGTCACCTCCAGTCTGGATTACAGCAATGCAATATACTTGGGCACGAGGCCCTCAACCCCGGAGAAAGTCAGACTAGTACAGAATGGCACAGCATGACTCCTCAGCGACATGGGCTATCCTGAGCACATCACACCTGTCCTCTGCTCCCTGTACTCGCTTCTCAATGAATACAGAGTTGAGTTCAAAGGTCCCGGTCCTCATCTTCAATGTGCTCACTGGCCAGGGCCCAGAAGCATATCTAAAAGATTGCCTGATGCACCTGGATGAGGCCTGTGGCCCACAGCTGCACACCCCTGGCACAATGGAACTTTCTACTGTCAGGATAAACGTCGTCTGTGCAGACAGAACTTCCTCGTGAGCTGACCCCAGATTATGAAATGAACTCCTACCATCCCAAACCTTCCATGTCAAGTGCAAGGTGAGGAGCGGACGGGAGAGAGGACAAGCCACACACAACAGATGCTACTCACATCACTTGATGCGTTACTGGAAGGTGCTCAGATACTGCAGCGAGGATGATTTATTCTGTTCAAGATACATTCTTTAAAGTGTCAGCATCGGCTACCCGATGCCTGTGTTGAAAATAGCTTATCTGTTTGTATAGGGGGGACAAACCCATTCGCTGCACAGTTACAGATTGGTTAGTTTGCCCAGAGAATCTTTTTTTTCCCCCTCACGTGACTTGTATCTATGTAACTGAAGTGGAACAAAGTGGGGAGGATCTGGGTTTTCATGCAGCTTGGCACAGAAAGGGGGAGTCACCTTTCTTACCTCCAGAGTACGTTGGGGATCTCCAGGGCTATCAGGTGAGCCCAGCTCTCTGGCCTCATGCTGATTCTCAGATATACGGGGGGCTGGATCTGGGATCTGATGCTGCGGGTGTGCAGAAAGTAAGCTCAGCTTATAGAACTCCTGAATATCTGCAAAACAGTATGAGAAACATCCATAGAAGTGGGGAATCCAAACTGAACAATTGAGAGCGCCCTGCCTAGTGAACCACAGACAGACCTCCACTCTCTCTGCCTTCCCGTCACGTTTAATGGCTGTGAGACCTGGTGCAGATAAACTTCTGCCTTGATAACTGGTACGGGATTCCTCTGCCTCTCACAGGACAGCCATCCTATGCTCTACACACTCACTCCACAGCAGGCTGTCGCTGTGAATGCAGTGCTTCTGCAGGCTACCAGACGTCTGCACGGAACTAACGTGTACTATGAGCTCAGCGGCACATGCTGGACCTGGTTCCCCCGCCCACACCCTGCACTAGGCTCTTCAGGTGCTAGCCCCTGGAGGGTCCCTACAAACACTTAAGCATCTCTAGTAACAGATGATTCATTTCCTGGGACTGGCAGGAAATCAGAAGGTGCGAATATCCCAGTTCCAATGCAAACAGCACTGGTCGTTCTGAACTCAGCCCCGAGGGGCACTGCAGTAGAGCTGTGTCAGGGTAACCACCGTGTCCCATTGGGGCCCATCCACCCACCACCCCCACGTCCTGCTTGCTGGCTGCTGCCCGGCATCCTCCTGCTGCTGCTCCGGAGCCCCCAGCCACCGAGAGGCAACGTGTCGCTTCCAAGCCTGGCTCTCGGCTGCCGGCTGCGTGGCCTTCCTTCCACCGCCAGTGTCCAGGCTAGTCCAGCCTGCTGCTCCCTTCGCAGGCAGCCGCCGGCTCCCTCCTGCGCCTGGTGCCCGCAGGGTTCTACTGCCCTTCCCTAGCCCCTCTCGGGCCAGAGTCGGCACTGGCTAGCTGCCGAGCTGGCTACTGCCCTTCCCTAGCCCCTCTCGGGCCGGAGTCGGCACTGGCTAGCTGCTGAGCTGGCTACTGCCCTTCCCTAACCCCTGTCGGGCCGGAGTCGGCACTGGCTAGCTGCTGAGCTGGCTACTGCCCTGGTCCCTCTCGGGCCGGAGTCGGCACTGGCTAGCTGCCGAGCTGGCTAACCCAGTGCAGGTCAAGGGGTGTGGGAAAGCACGTTCCATCGGAGTTAGACATCCAGCAGCTGCTCCTGGATCATTGCCAGTTCCCGCCTCCCCCATGGAATTGTGCTGCCGGTGCACAGCAAAGCGGTGTCCAGAGGCCCTCGTGCCATTTAACCCTTATTTTGATATCAAACGCTGGCTGCCCCAGAGGTGGAAGGGGTGTAAGCACATGATCAATTGCCTGTCAACACACACAGCAGGCACAGCGCAGACACCCAGCTCCTGGGTTCCAGGAGATCTGAGTCAACTGCTAAAAATAAACCAAGTTACAAACCCAAGCGTAATAAACAGGGATGTTTCCATCGCTGGGTTTGTCCCAACTGTCTCACCGGCATCAAGCAATAAAGGACTTCACGCGAGGTTCAGCGTTAGGTCACCTCTACCCAGGCCTTCTCCCCCGCTGGAGGCAGTGCAGGGATGGTCCCTGCGACAGTTTCCCCTGGAGGCTGGCTAATCCATCTGTAATTATTATACAGGCCACACCTTCTACTCCCAGAGCTACCCACTCCCTTCCGGAGCGACAGAGGCCGGGCGTGGTCAGGGCCTCACCGGCTCTGTCCGGAGGAAGGAAAGCCAGAACCACATGCTGGACAGCAGAGAGGGCAGTCGCCGGAGGCACAGGTTTCCTCCCAGTTCTAGTTTAATGCTGCTTTGCTTTTTAATGAGACGACATCTGCATTCAACCCCTCTCCTCTACAGTGCGGTCCCCAGAGCAAGATGCTGACTCCCAGCCAAAGGAAAACAAGACAGCCAGGGGCGAAATTCACCCCATTGGGAAGGAGTTTGGGCCAGGCTAGCTCCCAGCGGAGGGAGAGGGCACCGTGCCGCCTGCACAGGGACAGCCTGCTCGGTGGGACAGGAGCAGGTCGCGCCTGCACTGAGCCCCTTTCGGAATGAGGCAGTGTGTGCCCATCCCTGGCCAGGCACCCCAGGGCTACTGCTCCCCCACCCGCTGCAGCTACCCCCAGCCACTGGCTGCGGGAGCACAGAGCTGAGCAGGTGAGAGGCCAGGCTAGTCAGTCCCCTCCATTACAGCCAATACACCTGTTCCAACAGTCGCTCACAGGCAAAGACACCTCAGGAAGCTGCTTCACTGCGAGTGGGGGAGGCACTGCTCCAGGCTCAGGCGCCCGCACCACCTGCGGGGGAGCAACATGCTCAGGAACGACTCTGGCTGCAGGCCGGGGGGACGGGAACGCGCTC